CGACGTATCGCAGGTCACCCGCTCATCTAAAAGTTCGGAAGCACAAACACTTCCGGCTGCGCGTTCTCGTTATCAGTGAAAGTCGTTCGTTACAAACGTGCGCATAAATGGTGTCGGCGTGAATCCTTTCGTTGTCGAAGAAGCGGCCCGACGGCTTTCCATTTCTGCCGGTCGTAATTTTACTTTCGGGAATATACATACGTATCTTACAAAGCACTAATTCTACAGCAATATTTCATTAGCTAATGCGTGTTTTTTTAAAGAATTTGGGAAACACTTTTCCCTTTAAATATTACAATTCTAATATTATAAAAACCAAGCAAGAAAGAGTTATTTTTCAATTAATATACTTAATTTGCGTCTTTATCATGTTATCAGTACGAATTCGTACAAGCTATTATACAGTCATAAAACAAATGCCTACGAAATTCTGATAACGGCAATTCAAGCTATTTCTTGATAGCATTTAATCTGTATAAAACCTTGTTAATATCTCCAAGATATATAAGTTAGATAGAGAAGTACTATCTTATCATAATTATCGTACGTAGGTCTTTATCAATTTACGAGAACATAACTGAAATTAATGCGAAAAATAAAAAGATTACGTATGCAAACGATAGATTAGTTACTACTCACTCGATCGTCAATTCCTTTAATTCCCCAGACATGTCAGATGCCCAATTGATAAAAGACGGCGAGTGCAACATTCGAACGTTACTGAAACCAAACAGATTATACATTGTTAATAACCTTAACGCGTCATTTAGCTAATAATAAAACTTGATGATAACGGTTGCTAAATGCACAATATTTAGTATAATTGAATAATCAAATGCTGTTTTGTTAATATTTGTGATTTTATGACATAAAGTTTTAACTTTGCGAAGTTATTAATTTATATTCAACACGCAATATTTCATAGCTTGACGATTTTAATATAAATGACTATAATTGATATTAACACCCGTATTCACTAATCAAGTTAAACAGGTTTCTGTAACTTTTAAAATAGTTTTACTTTACGATGTTTCTTTTAATGAAATACGCGAACATTTATTAATCCTGAACATTTCATAAAGTGTCATGACCGTTTACCCTAATTGAATATTTCATAAAGTATCATAACCGCTTGACCCCACTAATTTTAACTCTTACGTAACACGCGTCCAACGCTCAAACGAATTTAATTGATTTCGGTATTATTCTTCAAGAGACTAAATTCGTGAAAGGGCATGAAATAGAAAGTATCCTTTATTCGTGTGTGACTAATTATAAAAATTGTTAGACGCTCCCTCTCAGCTGATGCAAAATAAATTACACCAAATACAAAATTTATGCATAATGTATCAATATCATATTGCGATCTACTTATAATGTATAAATTAAAGTAAAACGTAAATGATATTGATAATAAAAAGGGTTCTAGAAAAGTGTAACTCATTTTTGCCAAACAGAAAGTATTTTTACATTTATATTTTTTATATCTAAAATAAAACTTCAAGAAAATTAATTTTGTATCTAGTTGACATCAACAAATATATGTATGTACATAAAGCAGCTATGTGTGAACAAAAGATTTTTTTCTCTATTAATAATTAAGTTTTCGTTATTATTATTGTTTAATTTGACATTCTAGTTATATTCTTTTTCTTGTATAGATTGTATTATTTCCTAAATCCCAGTCTTTTATAAATTGCGTTAGTTGAAGATATAAATGTGATAATTCGAATAAACAGTAAAATACCGCTGATGATTATGCCGTATAAATCACGTGCAAGAAAAATCGTAACAGCCTTACGAACCACTAAAACAATGATGCTATTAATGATTGTCGGTTATCTTGATACGACACAACACTTTGAGTTTTCTGGAACTGATACGAGCCACTCCCATCTTTTGCAATTAAGTAAAGTACCCTACAGTTTATTATAACTTTCATGGTTCTGTTGTAACTTCTACACAGTCTATAAGTGACCAGTTTAATACTATGACAGTGTGATATCACAATAATGTATTGGTGTTCCTCTTTGACGAGTTGAAAAGATAATGAACAGAATACACAGTTGAAACACAATAAATTTTAGTATTTCTGCTTAATAATTCAAAATTGATCAAGCATTGCAATATATCTAACTTTAATATTGAAATAATCCAGTGTGAAGAATATTTTTTAATATAAATGAAGTGTTGAGATATAAATTAATATTTTGATCATTAATATAAATCAAAATGAATGAATTTGTTAATCTAAACTATGACTTATAATGCTTAGATAACTTTTAATGTTATAGCTATGAATTAATCGTTTCTGTTAATATAATTTCATAACATTTAATTTATAATATTTTGATTTAACGTTTTAATTTTATCACACAATTCTTTTAATTTATTTTATTGGTCAAATTTACTTGCATTTTTTTAATTTTACCGACATATTATTATTTTAATTTACTCGCTTTTTGCGTAATATAAATTTAATAACACAGTATCACAAATTAGTATTACATTATTACAAATTTGCTTAAGCCCGTCACACTTATCACTTTGATTTAACAATATATAGTACACTATAAATCCATTTTTTGAAGTTGCCACTTTACCACACAGAAATATACTATAATGAGATATTTTTGCTAAATATACTGTAATATTTACTTACTTCTCGTTATCTTCAGAGAGCGACATCGTCGACGTTCGTTAGCACAAACGATTTCACTGACAATGAATAAAAGGCAAGTTGACTCATGCATTAAAGCACCACACTGTCACACTGTCATTGCTACATGAACAGAATGTTCAAACATTGATACAGTGCTGACACAAGCTGATAAGACGTTTTAACGCGACTGATAAGTAACTTTTAGTATTACGTTCATATGCAATTTCTTGTAACTGCACAAAATTTATAAATATGAATTTAAATGAAAATCTAAAACTCAAAAATTGTCTCAAACAAGACCGTTATTTTTATTAATTAATTTGGTTGCTAATTAATTTTTAATAAAGTAACTCTATCCCTTTGGCTACGTTGTCTAAGATATCGGCGAATAGTCTCCAATAGTCTCCATTTGTTGTGTATTTTAAAGATACCAGGTATCGTCAAGAAAACACCGACGTTGTTAATTATCGCTGGCGACATTGAAGAATTCTGATTAGTTGTAAAAATATAGGTTTTTAATTTTGCATCTTCTTGAAATTCATAATATACAGCTACATAATAACGCGCTTGTCTTGCTTCTTTGGGAGAATACATTTAGCCGGAAAAATTAGTAAAAATTACTTCCATATGTATAGCTTTTATTTTTGAACATTTTAAACATGCACTATGTTACTACAAAAGCAAATATCTAGTACCAATTATACATATATTTGTGTAAATTAGCAAAACATTTACTGATTAAATTATAAACCAAGCCTAATTAATTTTGGAATAATTAATAATATTGAAATTTATCTTATCATTATGATATACACTGTAAAAAAAGTATGTAAAATTACATACATAATAAGTGTTTTAATTACACTATTAATAACTAAAATACAAATTTATGTTCTTTTACAAATAATTTTTTGTTACTCTTTGTTGTGTAAATACTTGTTTATATATGATGAAAAATTACAAAAATTTGTAAAATTTCCACCGTCAAAAGCAAGCAGTTTACTTTTTATATAAGATAATAAGTTTGTTTAAAAAAGGATAAATTTGCCGACGTATGTAAATATACATCTTTAATAGCTATGGTTCCAATATTTTCCACTATAATAATTGTAATGTTACATCTACTTTTTTGACAGTGTAATTAGTATCGGAATTCCGATAGATGACCCAAACATAAACGAAACATCAAATATGAAAATCATTTCTGATTATGAAAAAAATAATAAACGCTCTTATTATCATAATATGCTATGATAATGCTTGTTAACTAACATCTTATCGTAAACGTCTGTCGTTTGTCATTAAAAGAAACGGAAAAGAAGATTTTTAGCATTATAATATCGAATAGCACACGAATGGGTAAAGTTGAAAGTAGATTTCTTCGTGTGTTGTCCATAACCACACATTTAAAATTATATAAAGAAGACTTAAAATTACTACATACATTATTACTTATTATTATTAATAATAAAACTAACTAATTAAAATGCTTAGTACTTATTATTATTAAGAGTAAAATAGATTGAATAGCTTCCCGATTAAAACAATATATTAGCAAACTAAAAATTAATTGGCATGGAAAAGTTTTTTCTTTTGTCATATCAATACTGTCTATAAAATAAAATTATTTTTTGTTATTTTATTCTTACAATTGGTGTCATAAATGGAGGATTGTACCTCCCTTAGCGAGAAGTAAAGTTTTGCTACCATCATACAAAAAGATTTAATACTTTAAAAAAAATATGTATTACGATATAATGTATGTTCATATATGTATGTATTTATATTATATATAATGTAAATTTGACATTACACATATATATATTTGACATACATAAATGAACATCTTTATATATATATATATATATATATATATATATATATATTATATTTTAATCTCTATATATAATTATATAATATATATGTCGATTTATGCACTCAAACACGCGCGCGCGCATGTGTAGATGCGTGAGTGTGTGTATGTTTGCGCGTGCGCGGCTGTACATAGATTGCTGAAATATTATATATATATACACGCGCATATTTGACATTTATACTGCCGATACATTTATACTTTAAGTTCAAACCACTATTTTCTTTATACCGGTATAGATATTTGCTATACAGAAAAATGTTTATAAAATTTTTTTAGTAACGCATCTATAACTTAAAACATTGTAATTTTTGTAATTTTTGTACAAATACTCCTTCTCGCTCTTTCTTGAGTTATTCAGTTTTCCAAATTTTCGAGATTATCTACCTGAATGTTCTACCATGTTCGAATTCTTTCACATCGCCTCTTTGTTAAGAATCTATGCAGAAATAAAAATGTGCTTACTTAAGATCTTCTTGAGGGTCCAGCGACCTCAGTATTTGCGGTTTGACTTATTGTAATATCCGCCAAATCCTTTTTAACAAAAAAGTAGTCCATCTTGCCGTACATAGGTATTGCAATCCTGGTACATACCACACAAATATAATGTTATGAAATAATATTAAAAAATAGCACTACAATACGAAATTACAATACTACACTATTAAATAGAAACCAGTCAGTCCTTTATGGACACAAATCTCTTAAAACTTAAAACACGCCGCTATAGAATTAACGGATTAAAAAGAAACTATGACATTTGTATGAAAGAAATTACTTTTTTCCCCTCAGTCCTTTGAATTTATCAGCTAAAAGCGCAGCTAAAGCGAGAGCTGCATTACAATCGGCATTGCCATACTTTAGATTTAGATATTCAGTCGCTACATAAGAAGAATACTCCGATGGACGCATTATAACCATGCTGTCCCTACAAAGTTCCAATTTGGCTGTAGTCATTTTATTCCAGTTATATGTTAATACAGGAATATTTAATTCAACAGATGAATTGGTTTGTTCTCTGATACGGCTGATTGAAGAGTTAGAAAGTTGATTTTGGACTATCTAAATATTGAATAATTATATGTAATTTTATAATTTCTGTTGCATTTAATGGGTGCAACCTTATTCTAAATTATTCATTATCGAAATTGGAAATAGTACTTTATAATGCGCTGTTTAAAAAACAGTTGCATTTCCTCACTTACCATAACTTCTATACTCGGTTTCAATTCCTTGAGAGCCATCGCAATACCCACTGTGAGTTCACATACTTTGTTCAACGTCGGTAGTACGACTGCATCAAAATTTGCCTCTTCTACAATTTCCAAAGCCAAGGTGGATTGACCAATAATCATATTTGGATGATCGTTTCTATTCAAACAATGTTGTTAAATGAATAATTCAGTTATGAAATTAGAAAAAATAACTACAAAAGTCGAGAATTTTTTTGAGATAACGATAATAAAGAATAATAATTAAAGCAATACAAATAATAATGAAATTAAATTAATTAAATTAATTTTTAGAAAAGGAAACTAAATCTATCGGATACAACATACACACAAGTAAAAATAACTAATAAGAATATTATTCATAAACAAAATATGTATTTTAACCAAGGTTGAGAAAAACGGGTTGCTTGATACATTTAATGCTTTGGTTTACTGAGTAATGCTAATTATTTCAAAAACGGTAACGATAACGCATTTTTATTATACAACAGTTTTCCCAATTTTGGTTTTAATTTAATTCAAATTTTACTAAAGAAAAAAGGGTACCCGTCTAAGTAAACTTTTCCCTCCTTCTGAGCGATATTCAAAGCCAATTTGTGTGCTTGCATTATGTCGTCCTCGGTGATCACTTCTGCTTTACGATTTTTACACATAAGAAGAAAATTTTCTTCTACGTCTGTTCTCATTATTAGAGTCACTGGTATATTAAATATCTCTCCGAAATACGCGAGAGTATATGCGAAGCTGCCCGATGAAACTGCTACCACGCCCTTTTTTTTCTGTTCGTATGTCAGCTGATCCAGAGTATAAGCCACACCGCGATCGTTGATGCTCCACGTATTCTGGCATAATTCACTGATAAAATATACTTTGTAGTTTGAACAAAAATTTGTAAAAAATTGTTCCTGAAAAAATCATATTATGTTTGGTTAAAGATCGACGCTGAGTGATTCTTTGTGGATGTCTTGTGTTACATTTTACGTTGATTAAAAGTATGAATTTATAATATCATAATTTGCGAACAACACGGTCATATAATTACTAAAATTAATTCCTCTATTTTTAATATTTAATTTCACTTAATTTATGTCGAATTATGCATTTAATATACAAGATAGACTACTTCTTTATTTAATATTTTAACTCATTTTCGTATACGTCAATTTTAAAATACAAGTGTTGAGGTTTCTGGTGGGGTAAAGGTTGATATTGTGTAATATTTATCATATAAATGTTATATTCTTCAAGTAGTTCGCTTTTTACGTTTTTACTAAAAATGTGAAATTTCATTAAAGAGATTTAATGATAATTACATGGCAATTCTCGAGTGGGATCAGTTCTTGAGTCGTTGGCCTCCGAATGTGACTTCGAATCTGAGTCAGTGCCGACTTGATTGTATCGCACGAGAACTGAAATCGTCGCCCTTTATTTGTTAATTTCTCAGATCCTTTTTCCAATACTAACTACACAATAAAACACTAAATAAATAAAAGAGGTTCGTGTGATTAATAAATCAACTATTAAACAAGGGATTAGAACCATAACAAGGTTTTCACGTAGTCCAATTATTATTTGAATTTTGTATATCGTTTTCATCTCTTAATCAATAAACTGCATGCCAATTGTTTATTGATATTAGAATAGAGATCATTATTGGAATTATGATGCTGCGCTCCACTTTTGATAGTTAAAACACTAAAACACTAAAGTTACGTTACTCCTATTTCACCGAATGTACGCAAACTACGTATATTGCATGTTACTTCGAATTTTTATAATACTGTACATTATAGCATTGGGAGAATTAATACTCCTCCATATATTTCTAAGAACAATTTTTGAAACACGACAGAAATATTGAAACACGTGGGCACAAATGTATATTCCGCATGAGCAAAATTGGATTGTAAAATTACGTTAATGAAATCAAACATACCCATATGTTACTTGTCACAGTCATGACGATATTATAAGAAAATAGCACTGTTCTTTCCTTTTTTTTCTTTTCTTCTCCTTTTTTCTCTTCCTTCTCGATACTTTGCTCCAGTTTTGGTTTCTTCTCTTCTCTTTTCTCTTCTTCCTTCTCTGTCCTTTGTGTTTTCTCCATATTGTGTTTTTAAGAGGAAGAGACAAATATGTGAAGTGTTACTTTTTTGATGAGAATTACTTAAGAAGCACACGTAGGTAATTGTTGAGAAGAAGTATAAGTGTCGAACCGAACATGTTTCTGTGGTCCACTCCTCGCTGAGACTAGACGTTATACACCGTTAGCAAGTCATCTTTCGTCCTTTCTTAAAATACATGTTTATAACTTTTGCGATACTTGTGCTGTGTTTAGAAATTTGGTTGTCTACGCAATGAAATAAACAGAAGGACGTTTAGAATTAGATCTGCTAACAATAAGTGAAAAGAGAAGTGTTATATAGAAGCATTATTACTGCATTTGCGTTACAATCTAATACCTTTTTATTTAAATATTTTTAGATTTTGGTCATGTTTTTATACTTTCTTTGTGATCCCGAATCATCGAATTAGGACTGCGATGCACCGCGTACGTCGCACATTTGAGTTCATTTATGTATGTCAAATATCTATATATATGTATATATAATTTATTCTCTCTATGTATAGACACCCGCACACATGTGGATTTGTGTGTGTATGTACATAAATTGCTGGAATATTATTATATACATACGCATATTTGACAATTAAACGGCCAAAATACTTTAAGTTTAAATCACTATTTTCTTTATACTGGTATAGATGTTTGCTATGCAGAAAAAGGTTTATAAAATTTTTATACTAACGCAACTATAACTCAAAACATGGTAATTTTGTAATTTTTCTTCAAATACTCCTTCTCGCTATTTCTTGAGTTATTTAGTTTTTTAAATTTTCCAGATTACCTACCTGAATATTTTACCATGTTCGAATTATTTTACGTTTCCTCTTTGTTAAGAATTTATTCAGAATTAAAAATGTGCTTACTTAAGATCTTTTTGAAGGGCCAGGGACCTCAGTTATTGTGGTTTCATTTAAAGACGCCATATCCACTTCTCTATCAATAGAATAATCCATTTTGCCGTATATAGGTACTGCAATTCTGGTGCATACAAAAAATATTATGAAATAGTATTTAAATATAGCATTACAATACTAAATTACTACATTATTAAATAGAAACCGGCCAGTCCTTAATAGACACAAATCTTTTAAAACTTGAAACACGCCGCTATAGAATTGACGAATTAAAAAGAAACTGTGAAATTTGTACGAAAGAAATTACTTTTTCCCCCTCAGTTCTTTGAATTTATCTAATAAAAGTGCAGTTAAAGCAAGCGCTGCATTAGAATCGTCTTCGCCATGCTTCAGTTTTAGATATTCACTCGCTATACGAAAATACACATGCGATGGATGAATCGTAACATCGCTTCTGTCTCTCCAACCTTGCGAATTGGCTGCAGACATTTGATTCCAATCATATGTTAACGTGCGAATATCTAATTCATCAAGTGAATTGGTTTGTTCTCTGATATGCTTGATTGAAGGATCAGAAAGTTCATTTTGGACTATCTAAATATTGAATAATTACATGTAATTTTATAATTTTTGTTGCATTTAATGGGTGCAATCTTTTCTAAATTATTCTAAATTATTCATTGTAGAAATTAGAAATAGAACTTTATAATGTGCAGGTTAAAAACGAAGATACATTTCCTCTCTTACCATAACTTGCATATCCGGTTTCAATTCTTTAAGAGCCATCGCAATACCCACTGTAAGTCCAGAATCTTTCATCATCGTCGGTAGTACAACTGCATCAAACTTTGTGTTGTTTTCTACAATTTCCAAGGCCAAGGTGGATTGACCAATAATCATATTTGGATGATCGTTTCTATTCGAACAACGTGATTAAATAATTCAGTTATAAAATTAGGAACAATAACTACAAAAAGTCAAGAATTTCTCGAGACAACAATAATAAAGAATAATTATTAAAAAGATATAAATAATTAGCCTTTAATTCAATAAATTTTTAGAAAAAGAAACTAAATCTATCGGATACAACATACACACAAGTAAAAATAACTAATAAGAATATTATTCATAAATAAAATATGTATTTTAACCAAGGTTGAGAAAAACGGGTTGCTTGATACATTTAATGCTTTGGTTTACTGAGTAATGCTAATTATTTCAAAAACGGTAACGATAACGCATTTTTATTATAAAACAGTTTTCCCAATTTTGGTTTTAATTTAATTCAAATTTTACTAAAGAAAAAAGGGTACCCGTCTAAGTAAACTTTTCCCTCTTTTTGAGCGAGATTTAAAGCCACTTTGTGCGTTTGCTTTATGTCGCCCCGGGTTAGTACTTCTGCTTTAAGAATTCTACACAAACTAATAGTACGTTCATCTGATCTTAATGGCACTACTAGTGTCACAGGTATACCAAATTGAAATCCGTAATGTGCGAGACTATAAGCGTAGCTGCCATATGAGACTGCTACTACACCCTTCGCCTTTTGTTCGCGTGATAGCTGGTTCAAAGCATAAACCACACCACGATCTTTGATGCTCCGCGTATTCTGGGCTAATTCGCTGATCAAATGTATTTCGTACCTTGAACATAAGTTTTCAAAAACTAGTTTCTGAAAAAATCATATTATGTTTGGTTAAAGATCGACACTGAGTGATTCTTTGTGGATGTCTTGTGTTACATTTTACGTTGATTAAAAATATGAATTTATAATATCATAATTTGCGAACAACACGGTCATATAATTACTAAAATTAATTCCTCTATTTTTAATATTTAATTTCACTTAATTTATGTCGAATTATGCATTTAATATACAAGATAGACTACTTCTTTATTTAATATTTTAACTCATTTTCGTATACTTCAATTTTAAAATATACAAGTGTTGAGGTTTCTGGTGGGATAAAGGTTGATATTGTGTAATATTTATCATATAAATGTTATATTCTTCAAGTAGTTCGCTTTTTACGTTTTTACTAAAAATGTGAAATTTCATTAAAGAGATTTAATGATAATTACATGGCAATTCTCGAGTGGGATCAGTTTTTCACTTGTTGACCTCCGAGTGTGACTTCGAATCTGAGTCAGTGCGGACCTGATTGTATTGTACGAAAACTGAAATCTTAGCTCTTCATTTTGTGATTGCTCGGATCCTTTTTCCAATACAACCTATACCATAAAACATTAAATAAATAAAAAAAAGAGTTTCGCGTGATTAATAAATCAACTATTGAACAAGGGATCAAAACCATAACAAGGTTTTTGCGTTGTCCAATTATTATTTAAATGTGGCATATGGTTTTCAATTCTTAATCAATAAACTGCATGTGAATTGTTTATCGATATGAAAATAAAGTTCATCAGTGGAATTATTATGCTGAGCTCCACTTTCGATAGTGAAAACACTAAAGATACGTTTCTCCTATTTCATCGAATGTACCTAATGTACTACGTGTATTGCACGTTACTTCGAATTTTTATAATATTATACTATACATAATAGCATTGGAAGAATTATTATTCTTCATGATATTTGTAAGAACAATTTTTTAAATACAACAGAAATGTTGAAACACGTGGACATGGATTCCACATGAGCAAAAATGGATTTTAAAATTACGTTAATGAAATTAAACATACCCATTGGCCATCTAGAGTCAGAGGCATGACGATATTATAAGAAAATGGTAATGTACTCATCTCCTCTTCCTTTTCTTCTCCTTTTTCTTTTTCCTCCTCGACACTTTGTTCCAGTTTTGGTTTCTTCTCTTTTATTTTTTCTTCTTCCTTCTCTATTCTTTGTGTTTTCTCCATATTGTGTTTTTAAGAGGAAGAGACAAATATGTGAAGTGTTACCTTTTTGATGAGAATTACTTAAGAAGCACACGTAGGTAATCGTTGAGAAGAAGTATAAGTATCGAAACGAACATACTCCTGTGGTCCCTTCCTCGCTGAGAATAGCCGTTACATATCGTTAGCAAGTCATCTTTCGTCCTTTCCTAAAATTTATGTTTATTTCTTTTGCGATACTTGTGCTGTGTTTATAAATTTGTCTGTTTATAAATGTGACTGTCTACGTGATGAAATAAGGAGATATTTAAGATTAGATCTGCTATGTGAAAAAGGAAGTGTTATATACAATAGAAGCGCTATTACGGCATTTGCGCTACATTCTAATATCTTTTATTTTTAATATTTTAGATTTTGATCATGTTTTTACATCTTACATATTTAAGCGTTTT